TTCAAAATACAAAAACTGCCAACAGCATTAAGCCTGGTCAGACTCAAAGATGTGCTTTCTGACCGGACTTGCAAAGTGTAATCAGTTTCGAATTCAGTAGTTTAAGTGTTGGACACAGTTAGTATGTAATAAATAGGTAGTGCAGCTTTTCCTTTTGTAATCCGGTCAACTAATCCGACTTACTTGGTCAACATAATACGGTCAATATTTCACTAAAATATTATAGATACTTAAAAATAAAAATAAATAAGCCTCTGTGCGTTCACATTTAATTGTATGTTTTTTTAGTAAATTTAATCCCACAAAGCTTTCTACTAATAATGTATTCTAGATCAATGAAAGAATGTACTTTTAGTCAGTTTGAATTACAATCATTTTTTTGTTATACATGTAAAATATTGTAACAAATGGCCGTATTTCGATGCCACAATATTTTTTTAGACCCCTTATCTACCAATCTAAGAGAAAAGTAGCATGTCCCCTGCACAAATTCACTGTGTAATCACTTACCCTGCTGTACCGTAACTGCATGGGTCATCCGGGTTCGATTCTGGCACGGTGCAGGTCACTTTCGTTTAGACTGATCATGAAAACCCTTCTACGGTCATTCACTTTATACCTCTGCTCTTACATGAACAGACGTTATCATTTCCTTGGGAAAGTGAAAGCAACTAGTACTGGTAAACTGCTTGACAGTCTGTCCAGGAACAAACCGGTGGCTGAACTTTGCTCTGGCTTACTGTCGTGATCTGGAGTGAAAATTACCAACCCCACCACACCATCCGTGCAGTCTGACCAGGTTCTTTACTGTTGGCAGCTCAACTTTTTTTTTTTTTATTTGAATACGTTAGGCTTTGAATGGACTGTGCTAAATTCAAAATAGAGGAAGTACATTACTCAAATTTAGCAGGTTTAAAGTATTAAATTTTCATATTGTTCGATACACCGGGTTACATTATATAAAACAAATCAACATAATAGACTCTGGTCAGAATGCTCTTTCCGCTAAAAGTGGTATGTTTGCGCTTCATTATTATTACACAGCTGACGGTCTATTGTACTTTAAGTATATGTGCTTACAGTAAACAAATCCATGTTTGTTCAAGTTATAGATTTTCTCAGTGTATAAGAAACAGAAACTGCGAAATACACTTTATCTGCAAACAACTTTCATATTGAACTCATTCATTGTTTTTTTTACAAATCGCATCTTCTCGACCCCTTCCGTCAAACTTAGGATAACAACGTTAACCTTCAAATACAAACAACTTTTTTATTGATCTCATTCATTGTTTTTTTTTCAACCAATCGCATCTTCTCGGCCCTTTCCGTCAAACTTCGGATATGAATGTAACGTTAAGCTTCGAAACACGTTTTATGATATGTACAAACAACTTTCATATTAAACTCATTCATTGTTTTTTTACAAATCGCATCTTCTCGACCCCTTCCGTCAAACTTAGGATAACAACGTTAACCTTCAAAACACATTTTATTTACAAACAACTGTCTTATTGATCTCATTCCGTCAAAATTCGGATAAGAACGTTTAACTTCGAAAAAAAAACACAAAAAAAACCCCAAAAAACAAAAACAAATCCGTGTTCATATTGAACTCATTCATTGTTTTTTTTATCTCGGCCCTTACCGTCAAAATAAGTACGAGTCCCGATCAATAAAGAGCCTGGTCAGGTCGATTGAGCATGGGGCTCCATACTGGTGACAAAGGCGAGTCACTTTCAATTCTAGCAGCCCGTACGAAGAAAAGTGTATGCGTATAGCAAAAAGGGGTGACATGAAACTCGTTGAGATTATAAGTTTTATCAGCATTAAAGTAAGCTTATTAAACTTTGCGAAGTTGATGCACTGTCCATTTTGCACAGTCATCCCAAAAATTCTGATCTTGTTTTCTTCTTTCAATATTCATTTCATTATACATAAAAATACATATCATATTTTCTTCCAGTTGGAATAAACTGTTAGAACAGCATTGGTTCCTTTTTATACTCTGACAATGCTATCAAGGTCCATTAACTAAATCCCGAAAGGTCTGGACTTGAAAATCACCAGGTTCATCTTGAGTTACATGTTTGTTGAGTTTTTGTCTATGTTTTTATGAAATTGCCTATGAATAAAATAGCATGATATATAACAATTCATATGATTCAGTGAGTTCAATAAAAATTGACTGTAAATAAACATTGATGGCATTTTTTTTTCAGAATAATAATTAACCCCGGTTTTAAATATTATAAAATTTGTTTCCTTTTTATATGAACTATTTCAGCAACAATTAAGATGACTTCTTTATTTGCTAAAAGATATATTTCCATATCTTTTTACAACAATTACCTCAATGTCAGGTCCGTGATCCTGAATCAATCCTTTTTCCCATGCCTTTTTATGGCAATCTTAGCCACAAAGCTATTAAGGTATCTTTTGTATTTTTGTCAAAAGCTACTTTATATGATTTTCTACTTTTTACCTTAAACTAACTGGAAATTGTCTATCAACTTCTACTAATTTTTTATGTAGAGCGATGCTCTTGTTGCCCTAAAAAGATTGCGTTTACACGGGGAAAATACTACTTCTGGTCTATTTTTCATAGCAACAGATCGCACCGTAAAAAGATCTATACCATAACTTAAAGGGACTCCACTGAGGTTTAAAAGCCTAAAAACATAACATTTGAATTTCTTACATAAATGAGCTGGGGCACTTTAACCAGAAATATATGCGGGGCACTTTAACCAGAAATATATGCAAAGATAGTTAAAAAATATACCGAAATAAATTGAAAATCGTATTTTTATGCATTTCTCAGCCCAATTTGAGTGAAAAGCGTTTAAACGCTTTTCGTTTTGGGTCATTTTTTTACAATTTGAATAATTATTCTGGAAAAAACGAAGAGCTCGAATAATCTGAAATTTTGCACAAAGATTTGTGGTCAAAACCTACATCGAATGGTGAATTTATCTGGAAAAAATATTTTCAGTCCCAAAATGTCAAAAAAACTCAGTGGAGTCCCTTTAATAAACCTGATATCATTTATCCGGGTTAACCATAACTCGTAAAACAAATGTCCATTTCGTAGGGAAAAACTCCATTTCGCTAAACGGAGTCCATTTTGCATTCTATTAACTATTACAAACAGTTATTGACACATAAATATTTTTCACATAGCAATCATATAATACCATAAAGTGATATATATTGCTATGTTCTTATGTTTATAGCAACTGTTACCGTTTTAATTTATTATAATAAATAGGAAAATGGTAAAATAAAAAAAAAGTAAAAAAAAAAACGAAGTTAAGTTACCATATGTTGATATCAAATCATATTTATCAGTGGTATATGTTTTGCCTTTATTACAATACATGTGCAGTATATGCGTTAGGTGTAAAAGGTTTCAATTTAACTAAATTGTAAAGACAAACAGCAAAAATGAAATGTTGTTGGATTAACTTGTCGGTCACCTTTAAGAAAGTGCAGGTATTGTAAATGATTTTTTTTCTGATATTTCTTTAGTTATTTCGTTAAAAAGGGGGTTTTTCATTTGTAAATGAACTTTTTACCTTACGGTTCTCGTTTATAGATTCGAACCCAAACCGGTAGTTACGTAACTAGTTAACCGCTTAACTAACTAGTAAGTTAAGTGATTAACTAGTTACGTAACTAGTTAATCTCTTAATTTAAGTAGTTAGTTGAGAGGTTAACTAGTTACGTAACAAGTTAAACTCTAAATATTAAGCTGGTAAAATAATAAATGGATGGCAGTTGTAGGCACAAACATGCATTTATTTCCCGTTATGATATTTTATTTATTGAAAAAATTAACTTCTTACGTAACTAGTGAACCTCTTAATTAACTAGTTAGTTATATGGTTATCTATAGACTATAGTGGCAGAAATATGCCACCATATATTACGGAACCTGGACACACTTGAACCTTATTTCAGACATAAAAAACAAATTATTTGCCGAAATTGAAAACCCATGGTAACGTTTATTACATCACGTAAATTACACCCTGGTTATCATGAGCATGAAATTTCTCACAAACAATTAACTTTTACAGATGAAAAAATATTGAGTGTTAAACATGTAAGTCCTATCTAATTGATGATAGTCAATTAAGAGATCTCTATCCCACATAATTTGAGTAATAGTACATGTAGTAACGTAGATTACAATTTTAACTTTACTTTACAAATATAAAGTTTGTGGTTCTGGTGTAAAGAAATTTTATGAAATGAGCTTATTATTGTATCGCGTATTGTTTGTACTATGTTTTATTAGTATGTGCCTCTGTTTAAACAACTTAAAATGTGTTTATTGTTCGTGGATTTCTTTCTGCGTAAACTAAGTAACGTAGATTACATTGGCTTTGGACACAAGACAGTTTTGTGAAGAAAAATGCAAAGAGCTTACTCAAAATTTGTTTTAAATTTCAACTTTCAATATGTCACCAAAACAAAAAATAAATATGTTTAGTTTGTGACAGAATGATGCAGCACTAGTCTTGCGTGTTAAATCATGTAACACTTTACGGCGACAGCGTAATTTTCTTGACAATGGATATTATTTGTTCGTTTCTTTAAAAAATAAACACTTGCTTTGAAGGTAGGAACCATGCAATGTAAAACATAACAAAACTCATCGTTTTAACTTTTGTTCAGAGACATTCAAATTTCAAACTTGGGCCTATGATGTGAGAATAGGTGTTTAATTAGATTATATGCAAACCCGACAATTCTCTTACTAATTATTCGAAGTTATGCCAAATATTTAACGATTTCCTTACTCTTTAATTCGTCTTGTTTTGTTTTATGTCAAAGGACATACAACGACTATTTTTTTGGTTTATGTAAATGATTCGGGACGTTTTGAAGCAAAAAGATAAATCCAGCAAATTTCATTCATTGTTTAGAATTATAAATTTTTGTATTCATTCATTAATCTAAAATTATTGATATTTCAATCTGTTTCAGCTTTTATGATAGAGTAAACAACAGTTTACTGCTGAGTGATCTGAAAGATACGATATACAATAAGACAACAACAACGACAGCAATAACAACAACAACAACAACAATAATAATAATAATAACAACAAAACAACAACAACAACACCTTTAGGTAGAGCAGACGACACATATTTTGGTTACAGCGTGAGAACAAAAGAAGATGACGAAGCAGCAGGATAATAATTGTATGAGTAAAGTGAAACAAACGTTTTTGTTGACGTGTATATTGATGTTTGTGACGTTATTTGCAATGTACGGCTCAACAGAACATTTCTCAAACTATTCTACAGTTTTTAAACGCCATGTTTCAAAATTTAGACGAAACGTTTCAAAGATATTTAGAGATTCAATTTTTAAGAATAAATTAGTTTTGGATACAAATAAAACACAAGAATTCAATTCTTCAGCAAATGGTTTATATGATGTTTATAATGTAAGAAATTCAAGTAATGTGACAAAAATGGCGATTCATACCGGTACAGAAAAAGGACTTCTTGTTAGCAACTTAAATGTGAAACAGGGAACGGAAACAAAAGAGTTCCCTGGTATGCCTGACCCATGTGCGAAACCCAGACGCAAAACTGGCGTAGAGGATATACTTTGTATGGTAAGTTATGTTAAGCCTTCCTGCATGCATTTACAGCACACAGAAATTCTATTCAGATACTGGCTTGTTTTTGTTATTTTTTATTTTCGGTACATTTTCATATAATATTTGATAGGATTATAACTATTTACTAGCCTTATACTGGTTTGTATGATTCTGACCTTTCTAAAATTCTAAGTTTTCTAAAATTCTCTTCTGTATGCATTGATAATTTTGGCATATACATTTAGAATCCATCCGAATACTTAGGTGTGAAGCAATCGCAAGTTTTCGGCCATTTCCGTCAAACATCGGATATAAACTATAAGTATAGGTAGTGGTGATAGCGAGTTGTTCCGAAATAGAAAGACTCTGTTCCGAATGATGAAATAGTATTGATGCATTTTACAGAAACGACCAGAATTTTTGCCCGAATATAAAAACCCCTGTTGGATGGATGATGAAGGCCAGTTCCGTTGTTTGCCATACTTTCATCTGATTGGAATTTGTAAAAGTGGAACATCTGATTTCTTTAAACGACTCCTGCTTCATCCAGATATCCTTCCCAACAGAGGAATCTTTGGCAAAGAAATATGGTACTGGTCATGGAAACGTTTTTCTATAAGTAAGTTAGATTTGTGCAAAATTCTAAGCAAAAAAGGGAAAATTTCTTCAATTATAAATAAGAATGACTGCCATTTTTATTCAGTACCAAGTTTTATTATCATGTATTAGAAATTTCATACATTCTTCATTCTAGTCACGTTCTTTATTCTTCCTTCTGATGAGAAGGAAAAACTTTGTTTATTGAAACTCATTGAGACCTGACGATATTCAACTTCACCTAGAAGGAATCAGTCCACAGTTATTTGCCTTCCATTGACCCAGTCCACAGTTATTTGCCTTCCGTTGACCCAGTCCACAGTTATTTGCCTCCCGTAGACCAGTCTACAGTTATTTGCCTCCCGTTGACCCAGTCAGGAATTATTTGCCTTCCGTTGACCCAGTCTCCAGTTATTTAGCTCCCGTTGACCCAGTCCACAGTTATTTGCTTTCCGTTGACCCAGTCCACAGTTATTTGCCTTCCGTTGACCCAGTACACAGTTATTTGCCTTCCATTGACCAAGTCCACAGTTATTTGTCTTCCGTTGACCCAGTCCACAATTATTTGCCTTCCGTCGACCCAGTCCACAGTTATTTGCCTTCCGTTGGCCCATTCCATAGTTATTTGCCTTCTGTTGACCCAGTCCACAATTATTTGCTTTCCGTTGACCGTTATTTGCCTTCCGTTGACGCAGTCCACAGTTATTTGCCTTCCGTTGACCCAGTCCACAGTTATTTGCCTTCCGTTGACCAAGTCCACAGTTATGTGCCTTCCGTTGACCCAGTCCACAGTTATTTGCTTTCCGTTTACCCAGTTCACAGTTATTTGCCCTTCGTTGACCCTGTCCACAGTTATTTGTCTTCCGTTGACGCAGTCAACAATTATTTTGCATTCCGTTGACGCAGTCCACAGTTATTTGCCTTCCGTTGACCAAGTCCACAGTTATTTGCCTTCCGTTGACGCAGTCAACAATTATTTTGCATTCCGTTGACGCAGTCCACAGTTATTTGCCTTCCGTTGACCAAGTCCACAGTTATTTGCCACCTGTTGACCAAGTCAACAGTTTTTTGACAGGATTCAAATGATTCCGTCCGCTTACTGTCATACTGATGTATATTTGAGAATTGCTGTGAAATAATGCCACATGGCCCCTATTTGGCTATAGCTGGAATTGTTTATCTTAGATGATACTATAAACAAAGGTGACTTTGAAGTGTTAGTAAAATTGCCACAGGGCTTAATGTTAATATAGAACATAAATTGAAAGAGGCTACAAGTTCAAAGCATTCCGAATGTATGGGCCATCTTGGTATATTTTGATCTTTAGCACAACAGAAGCGCAGGAAAATAGAAATTACCAGTAGTCATTGTTTGAGTAGCTCATTAAGGCTTCTTCAAATATGTTTTAAGAAATACTACATACTTATAGATATATAAATTAAAATTGTCCTGCAGGCATGATAAAGATGCGATACATGTACTATGTAATCATTACACAAACAATTCCCTCAGGGCCCCGAATAAGGTCATTGTTTCAGCGGCTAATATTCAACATAATGAAAGAGTAGTGTCCCCTTAGGAAACTTACGATGATGGATAAAATTGCTGATTCTAGATAAATCATTTGTTTTTGATAAATCTCAATCGCATTTTACTTTCCGTCAGTTTTTTGGAGTTATTATAGATAATAGCCGAATATGTTCCGATTGGATAAATCTGCAAACAAAATAAATTTAAAACAGAAAGGCACAATGAAATTCATTTTATAAGCTATGGCGTCATCAGTTAATACAATAGCCACATTTAATAAAATCGCATAATTCTCACTAGATATTTTTTTCTTCAAAAAGTAATTATAAAAGGTATATATCACTTGCAATTATTGGGGATGTAGTGGTAGAAGAAGGGTGTTATTAAATCAAGGAAACCACACATACCAACCAAGCATTATACTATACATTTTTGTCATCCTTGGTGACCAAGGCCATTTACCGTATCAAATTAAATTAAATGTAGTATAAATTATACGGAATGTGTACCGTGGATTCCGACGATGTTTTTTTAAACATATCTCGTTTATAATGAAAGTAAAAACGATTCCCTGTGTACAAAATGTTAATATATCAATTTAAAATAAATCAGTTTCCAAGTGTACATTAACATTATATATCTTTTTTCTTTCTAGAGGACCGAGGCGGAAGGTTGAAACTGGGAATGACCCTCAAAGAATTCATGCGACAATTTGATTCTGAAAGGATACGTACATCGGTCGATAGCCAAGGTCGCCACACTAAAATAACAGGTAAAAAGCTGGTCTTGCGTTATCTGTTGGGCGTAGATTTTTTCATCAAATCTCAGCCCCGGAAACAAAACTTCTGCGTGAAAACATTATTTTGAATAAAATATGGTAAAAATGGTAAAGTTATATACTGACACCATAAAATCTGTGTGTTTCCCAGGGTTGGGAAAAGTTGGGTGCTGTCAATACCATGTCAAGTCTTGAAATATGGAGTATCAAAAGTTAGAATTCAGTCAGGTAGTGTATTCCTGTATAATTTTGAAGGTCACTGTACAGTGGCCAATGAGACCTAAACGTACAGGACCCCAACGTAGAAGAGGTTAAGAATTCAATCCATACAAATACATACCATAATGGGTAATGCATATTTCAGAGGGAGTGAGGCATTTTACTAGTTGGAAGAGGTGGCCCATGAGGCAAATTATAGCTATTTGTGATTTTTCACTAAAAATAGGTTAATATTTAAATACTTCCACATACTAGCCAAATCATCCGGGCTAAACCCCTCACACCCTCCTGGATCCGCGCATGAGATATGTTAGTCCACAGCAAGTAAATGCCATGTATACATTCTATTACATGCAGATTGCAGTAATTTCCTGATACATTTAAATCCAGCCATTAGATCTGAAGCTTCCATTCAAATCTTTCAAAATAATGTTTAAAGAAAATGTCCATTGATTGTAATACCTATACAATTATACGATGAGTTGAAGAATGCACATTAAAAAGTTAATTCCAGCCGCTATTTTTACCAAAGTCGATCAATAGCGGCTTAGAGAACAAAAAAAAATACTGCAAACACAAGATTATTTGTTGCAACTAAGCACCGATTGACACATGTTCTTGGAAGTGTGATTACATGTCCTAGTAACATTTCTTTATGTTGATCTTTAGATAAGTTTCGCATACACAATTAAAAATCCTACATCATAGTTATAACATTCAAATGTCAATGGTTTTAAAACCTTTTTGTTGTTTCGTTAAAGGACATGGCGACCCAATGGATATCTGGGATAGATTCCGCGAAGAGGCCACACCCCAGAACACGCCCGGGGCGGAGGAACTACTCTGGACCACGCCTTATTCTGTACGCCATATAAATCCAAATGTTAAACTTCTTCTTATGCTCCGAGATCCCATTGAGAGGTATTATTTTCTTCTAATTTTTAGCTCGACTATACGAAGTATATGGAGAGCTGTCCTACTCGCCCCGGCGTCGGCGTCGGGGTCGGCGTCCGCGTCCGCGTCCAGATTTTAGATTAAAGTTTTGGTGCAGTAAAATATTTTTCACTATAACTTTGTCATTTCTTAAGGTATCAACTTCAAACTTCAAATATATGTTCCTTATCATCAACCACAGCTTACGTGACAAGGTTCATAACTCTAGCACCAATATTTTCAGATTTATCTCCCCTTGAACTTAGAATTTTCCTTAAAAAATACTATTTTTTACTGTTACTTCTTTATTTCTTAAGGGATCAACCTCATACTTCAAATATATGTACCTTATTAACATTCTCATCTTATGGGACAAGGTTCATAACTCTAGCACCAATATTTTCAGATTTATCTCCCCTTGAACTTAGAATTTTCCTCAAAAAATGCTATTTCTTACAGTGTTACTTCTTTATTTCTTAAGGGATCAACCTCATACTTCAAATATATTTACGTTATCATCATCCCCATCTTATGTGACAAGGTTCATAACTCTAGCACCAATATTTTCAGATTTATCTCCCTTTGAACTTAGATTTTTCATAAAAAATATTATTTTTTACTGTTACTTATATATTTCTAAAGGGATCAACTTCATACTTCAAATATATTTACGTTATCATCATCCACATCTTATGTGACAAGGGTCATAACTCTAGCACCAATATTGCAAGAATTATCTCCCCATAAACTTATATTTTTTTACTAGAAAAATGTTATTTTTTATTACAACTTTTTTATTTTTAAAGGTATCTACCTCAAACTTCAAATACTTATTCCTTATCATCAATTACATGTTATGTGACAATGTTCATAACTCTTGAAGCAATATTTACAGATTTATCTCTCTTTGAACTTAGGATTTTCTTTAAGAAATATAATAACTTCTTTACTTTTTAAGGTATCTACTTCAAACTTCAAACATATATTTCTTATCATTACACAAATGTTGTGTGACAAGGTCCATAACTCTAGCATGACTATTTCTAGAATTATTCCCCTTGATCTTGGAATTTATGTTAACAAATGTTATTTTTTTACTATAACTTAATACATTATTATACATAATTGATTTTTCTTTCATAGTTTTGTCCTCCTTACTGCGTCCAGTATTTTATTAGTCGAGCTTCGCTGTCTCCTGTGACAGCTCTTGTTTACTTACGAATCAAACACGCTTAAGAAACTCTGTTGATGCGGCTACTCCACGTTCTTTTCCATCCTTATAAGGACACCTGGTTACATACATAGGTATTTTGGTTCTTTATAAGAAAAAATGCTATCATATAATGTGATAATCAACTGATATGTTTTTACTTCGGTTCAATACATAATTTAAAAGGTTTCATATATTGTAAAAATGAATTAATATATAGATGATTCAGTTTCATATATGGACATCTTGTTCAATACATGGTTACTTTGGTACCATATATCGAAGAATTGGTAAACTATCATGTGAAATCAACTTATATATTCATACTTTGGTTTCATACATTGACGACATGATTTTATATATTGAAAAAATAAAGTTATATATTGATAATTCGGATTCATGTAAGGATATCTGATTCCATGTATTGCTACTTTTATACCATATATTGAAGAATTGGTATCATATATTGAGAAAACCAACTTATATATTGCCAGATAAACCAATGAAATTTATAATAAGATAATGGACGGAATGAAGCTAATAAACCATTGTATGTTAGTCCGGACGGACAAACAAACGGACGGTCGGAGAGACAGACGCACTTAAATCTATATCTATTTCAATATGCCCACTGAAAAAATATAGGCCTACCTGACGTCATTTGAGCCGCGTCATGACAAAACCAACATAATGGGTTTGCGACCAGCATGGATCCAGACCAGCCTGCGCATGAGCGCAGTCTGATCAGGATCCATGCTGTTCGCTTACAAACTATATGACAAGTAGAGAAACCGATAGCGAACAGTATGGATCCTGATCAGACTGCGCGGATGCGATCCATGCTGGTCGCAAACCCATTATGTTGATTTTGTCATGACGCGGCTCAATTTTGGTTTATTGACGTCATATTTGAGTTTACTTTAATATCAATATTGTACACAAATCTCATATTTACGCGGCCAAAAGCTAAGTTATTGTGTGTTATGAAAATAAAGTGTGATATAAAAAAATAATTAAATATAAAATGGCATGCTTTCTTTTTATTTTCAGATTGTATTCCCATTATTTTCACAGTGGCGCGGGAAGTTCGGCTCAATCTTTTCATGCTCACGTGACAATATCAATAGAACTCTGGAAGAAATGTGTCCAACAACACTCAGTGAGACACTGCATATATTCACTGAAATTTAAAAGCACTTTGAGGGTAAGACATTGATAAAAAATTAAACTATGCTGCTAAAAGTAATCATATTGAAGATATCGACGAAAATAATAAGTCATTTGGAACACTCCGCCGTTTACCTAACGAATAATCCTTAAAGATCCTGTAACACAAATTGTTATTGTTTTATATCATAAATATGATGCTCAAATTAAGATTTATCAATTTTGTAAGTTCAAAAAAGCATTATTTATAAAGATATTACCGAATTTAACATTTCACGCAAATAAAGGGAGGTAATAAAAAATTTATTTCTATAAAGTCACTCAAATTTTTGGTCTACAACTGGAGCATTCCTCAAAAGTATTTTTATATAAAAGCAAAATAATTTTTTATAAAAGCAACAGAATTGTAACATTTGGATATTCTTATAAAATATGTCTTGGAAAAAAATGTTTCTAGGTTTGTTTTCATATATGGTACTAAATACTATTAGCATAATTTTTATGGTATAACACATCATAATGGACCAAGTCACTTTAAAGTGACATTGTGACTATGATATGTGCTAATTTGGACAATACCATTACACCGAGCAATGATTTATTATCTATTCATTAGTTCACAATATGATATGTTTTTTCAGGCACCTATTTATACAAGTTTTTACATAGTGCATTTGAAGGAGTGGTTGAAAGCGTTTCCCAGGGAACAGTTATTTATATTTAGAAATGAAGATTACTCCGCCGATATTAAAGGAACAATGCGACAGATTTTCAAATTCCTGGATGTTCGTAAGTATAGTGCCCATCATATCAATTCATAAATGCAGAAATGTTCATATTTGCAGTTGATTCTGTGTATTTAAATTTATACAGATAAAATATATATGATCTAAAAAGGATAAATGATATGCACATATATTTTAAATAGATAGATCATAATGATATCGAAAACAGTATCTTCAAATATGGCAAATAACTTAAATATAAATTTGCTTAGCTTTGGGTCGACATTTATTGAGTACCAAAGAAAAAAAGATTCATGATCTTGGAGGATGTTATTTTAAAATATCTTCATTTACCATCAAATTATTTACATTTTTAAACAATAAGAAGTATACAATTTAAAAGAACATACAAACAATTATTTGCATATGGCTCTATATTTAGAAGATTTTCTTGGTATGCTAGTGTAATCTTGACTAAAATAAGGCCTAACTAAGGAAATCATTTTTTATATTGACTGCCTTCTTCCTTATGTATTAATGCATTTTATCTCTATTTTTCAGCAATTCCGAGTGAAACTATTTTAGACAAGATGAAATCATTGTCGCATTTTTATGAAACAAAAAGTAAGAAAAGGGCCGGACCCATGCTGCCCGAGACTAAAGCAATGCTAGTGGAGTTATATAGACCTTATACAGAGGAACTTGCAGCGTTTCTTAAAGATGAAAGATTTTCTTTTAAGGATCGTTCATTCAAAAGTCGATGATACTGTTTTATTGTATTTATTAATGTTAAGAATTGCATTATTTACATTTATAAGTCTATTCAGGCCGGTCTAGAATTGAAAGTAAGTTGGCACTAAGCTTTCGGTAGGTCACCGATCTAACTTACAGGGGCGTAGTCACCTTTATTAAACGTGTAGGCCAGTAAAAGGGGGTCAAAATCAAGTTCCGATTACAAAGAGCCAGTTGCCCGTTCCAAAGTATTTTCAAGGAAAATTATCAAAACAATAATTTTAAACTATGAATTTGATTAGATGCAAACTTTACTGAGGACGATAAATCATTAATAAGCCTACACTTGATTCGACCATACGACTTGAACGGTGACTACCAACCCACCCCGCCTGTTTTTATTGTATTTTTGAGACTTTTGAAAATGTCAATTTCTTGACCAACTTGTAGGCCCGGCCTACATGGCCTAATAGTAGCTACGCCACTGCTAACAGAAAACAGACGCTTTATTCTGAATCTGCAATGTATTTACAAAAAATATATAATTACATAATATAGCGTACTTTATCAGACAAATGAGTAAAACATCACCCAACTTAATCAATACTCCCTCAATAATGTTTCTGCTCATTTTTTCCCTTCCGGTTTAAATTGACTGGATATCCGGAATGATGAATTTGTTATTGTTTATTTTTTGAATATTTACGAATTTTAATTGATGCACAGCAACATTGATTCTAAAAGTCCCTCTATAGTTAAACAATCGTACAGAAAAAATAGTTGAAAACAATTCTGTTTTGAAACGAGAGTGGTCACACAGTACCAGTAAGTCAGTATCAATAGGGTTCTCTTTTTTGTTATATTTTTCAATATTTGAATGATTAACAAAAAATTAATATTTTCCGATTCCAATGGTACATATTTTTCCAATATAACTCTTGTATGTTTAATCGATATGCTTGCAAAAATTGTGACAAAGTATTGCCACATAGAAATATTTGTTCAAGCGTAACGGGACAAGTAAAAGAGCTATCGGTAGATATTTACCTGAAACATGTATGATTTTAATGCAAATATTGAACGCCAATCCCGATAACTGTAATGCGTTTTATAAAGGTAGGCAACTCTTCTAAACATATGAAGTATTTGTTTCCTTGATTCTTTGTTATTGCCCCTTTGCATTTTCATAAATTGCTCAATTAAGTTTACGTTCATTACCCTAGTCATGCACAGAGGTATAATAATACATTTTATATTATTACATTCATATCATTTTATAATTTACAATGTTTTAGTGTTCAGTTTATATATTTTATTACAAAAAAATTCTATATCTGTTTTCTTACAAAAAAGAAATGAGCCGCGTCACGACAAAAACAACATAGTTCGTTTGCGAACAGCATACGCGGAGTCTGATCAGGATCCATGCTGTTCGCTGTACGTTTCTCCACTTGTAATAGAGTTGGTAAGCGAACAGCATGGATCCTGATCAGACTGCGCGGATGCGCAGGCTGGTCTGGATCCATGCTGGTCGCAAACCCACTATGTTGGTTTTGTCGTGACACGGCTCAAAACAGTTTGTCTCATCTTTGTGTCAACATATTTATGATTTTATGAATTTATATGATTAATTTTTGTATCATTTCTGAAAAAAAAAATGTTTACATATTAATTATATTAAATAATATAATTATATCTTTATTTAAGCATAATGCTAAATAAACACTGTCATAATATATTTTACAAATCTGTAATAGAAATCCAAATCCCGTATGTTCTTAAATAAAAAATATTGAAATAAATACATGTTGAACTTTTAGTTAATATTCACTTTTGTATTAACTTATTAGTTTAAGATCAAAAGTAAGACTTAGAAAATCGTGATGTGATTTATTCTATGCTCTCACTGTCACAAATCCTCTCTTCCGGCTCAGCTACCTCAATCCCCCACCCCCCGGCAACTGTATTTCAATTGGCGCCATCACGTGTCATCTTTAACATTTGTATTATATAATGCTAGTTAGGCCAGAGTGATACACAGCTTATCCAGAAATACATGTACCATTCAAGATGCTACTTCGAAAGTTTTCAATCTCGTTTTCGCTCTTGTTGAATCTCAAGCACGCGCGCGGATATAGTGTCTCTTGTTAGGCGCACCCCATTTTATAGAGGAAAGACCAATAACACATATTATCGACTTATAGTCGAAATAATCCATAGGCGGCCATTTCCGATGAACATTTACTAATCTAAAGTTTATAACGTATTTACTTACATGTATAATAGATTGAACTCAAGAATGATTTCTTGTTTCTATTTTATAGTTTTATTGATGTTATTAATTATAATATTTTTTTATTAATTTAATTTGTTAAACCCATCTCAGATTGTTGAATTATACTATGGTCAAATTGTATAAGCGAAAGTTATTTTAGAAAATTTAAAATTTATTTTCTTAGGGGTGAATGGCTCCTTTGTACACAAAGAAATACAGTTGTCTCTAACATTATTTCTAACAATATTCTAAAGCACTTTTTATTATCACAGTTTTATTTTAGATGATAATAATGAAACTATTGCACAAAGAGCAAATGCGTTTTTTTTTAAAGAATAGCTTTAAAAGTGACACACTTGTAGCTTATTCATGACATAAAACCATATTAAAAATTGTATTTTCTTGTTATTTAGTTTTCATTAATTCCTTGCTCAAACTTATGTTCCATTAATCTTTTAATCGTGTGGGCTCAACGTAAAAGCCAATAGAAATATAGCAACTATTCTGAACATAATGTCAATTTACGAGACATGCCTCCATATTGATGCATGAAAATTTTGAAAATGTTTATTTAATGTAAAAAACAGTGAAAACATTTCAAACGGCACTTACAATTAACTTAAATTTACAAACAAACAAACAAACAACACCAACAAAAAAAACGGGTTATAATATGCAAAATAACCATTACTGCGTTAGTCATGCAGTAAAAATATGGTGATAAATACTGCAATATCAGTCATTAATCGCACATTTCATGTAAATTATGACTTGAATCTTTCATATTTCTACTTTTCTTAAAAATCTTAGCACATTTTTACTCAAGTTTGAGTTTCTTGAAATTTTTCACTCATCTGAAGGCGTGCAGCTTTAAACGCTCAACAGAATATTAATCTTCAACCAACTTAATTTGCTCGGCATTAAATAAGAAACAGTCCATTCGAGTTAAAAGGGATAAAGGGATTTCAATATCGTAATACAAAAATACAGCTATCAAGAGCCTGGTCAGACAAAAAGAACGTGTAGGTTGGCCTGCTACTATGCTGGCGACAAATGCTAATCTCTTTTGGTTCAAGCAGCTTAAACAAATCAAAGTGCTGCAGCACTGAATGCGACGGACATGCAACCGGACAGACATTAATTAAGGCTTCTTTTAGAAAAAAAAAACCAAAACAAAAACAAAACACAAAATATATAACAGAGAAAATTTGTTCCATACAAGTTCGAGATTTGTAGAGCAATATATTTTGTGTCCCAAATTGATATAATTCAGATTTTCTACTTTCAAGCACTTAAATACAGAATGAAATTTATGCCTAAAAACTCTGGTCAAACTTGTAAATCAGTGTCCTTATCGATTTATTCTAAGAAATGATATGTAGATAGAAAAAAAACTATCAACGAAATATTTCTAGAATAAATCCAGGCAAATAAACTTTAAACATAATACAATTTATACATCTGAGAATGCTATTTAGAATTGCTTCGTGTTATATCATAGTGGGCATACAGACAATAAAATATAAGTCATTTGTATTTGTATTTCTCTTGGATATGTCTCATTAAAAAAAAATGGTTAAAATCATCAGCAATTAATAGTGTATTTCTTAGATTTTTTTATTTACAAGGTAAAGATGTAGAGGCCAGAGCACATCGTTTTTATTTTAATTTAAATGTCACTTAAGCACTACAGTGTTTAGTTGTCCTTTTCAACTTCACACTAAATTCCATTTTCAACTTGTTTGCTTCTTACAATTGTATAGCATTTCTAAAAGTATTGCATTACAATCCGCTGGTTTATTAATTACATGTTTAATGTGTACTTCCTAATTGCCTGTCCAAAAATCAGAACAGGTGAAGCAGAATCTATTTTTAGAATAGCGAAGGTTAACTCATATCATGACCTAGTAAAATATGTAAACAAACCACAAGAATCGGAAGTAGAACTAGTATTATAACTTCCTTACCATGAAAGACTACATGGCGGTAAAGTGTCTTACATGCATTTTCAAAAATAGATATTTATACTAGCCATTGTACTGTATCTAATATATTAATAACTGCTGAATATTCAGCTAAACCCGCGGTATGAGTCACGAAAATAGTTCTTCTTTTATTAATGCGCGAGTATCCTAGAGTCACGAAAAACTTTTGATTTGTTAATAATAATGTTTTGTATAATGTAGAAATATTTATTTCCTACTAATAATGTCTTGGAACTCAGAGGTTACACCTTTATTGTAGTATAATTTGCTGTCCTACTTTTTCGACAGCGGTAAATCGTTTCAGCAGTAATTTGCATATTGCGCAATAATACTACGGGACTACAACGTTTTTATCAATAATATACGTTCATATTTTAACTTGGATAACTTAATTTGAAATTGAAAAGGCTAAATATGGAAGACATTAAGATATCCAGACAAAGTATGGGAGTTTTGAAGGATCAAATTCATGTACTATTTCTTGGGCTGTTAATTGGTTTAGGACACATTGCGCGAGTGTAGCCAACGAAATCCCATGTGTAGATGACTTAGCTCTGAACGCGCCTGAGGGCGCGTCCGTCGCAAAAAAGATGACACTTCTAAGCATCTTTACAAAAAAAATCTTTTGCAACAAATACAGTTAAACCGTTGCTTAAGTCTACCTCCGAATACTAATAATTGTTTGTTTGTTTGTTTGTTCTATTTTACGCCTTTTTCCAACAGTATTTCAGTCATATAGGCGGGTAGTTTCCTAACCATCGTTCCTGGAGAGTTAAACCAGTACTAGACTTCCTTCCTCCGCGCTAAACTACCAAAGCAACCTCCGAATAAAGAGCACTCTGTAAATATTGGCTATTATTCAACAACCCTTCATTGTTTAAATAAAACAGACTAACCTCCAAATAAATACCACTTGTCCATAAAAGTCAGGTTTGGTCTCTCCTTTCGATGGCCTTTATTCACAGGTTAGACTGTACATAAAAGCCAGATCTATAAAGGTTATCAAGTACATTTTGAATAACCATTTGACATGTAAAATGGCTTGGTATTTGATATTGGTACACTCCATGCTCTATATGGACTGGAAAAAATAGGATTGATTTTGACTAGAATTGGTCACCCTGTAAAAAGGTGTAAAAAGGGAAAAAGTCAATAAAATACATGTTTATAAAAAGGTTATATTAGAAATCGAGGGTTTAGTATCTGTTTCTATTACTATACAAAGATGTACCAGTTTAGCTCTTAGCCCTCAAAATATTCTCAAGAGATTCATCAAGAAGATGACTCCAGTAGGACAGCGCGCTTGACTAATCTCAGTGCTTGAAAGTAAAACAAGAGCCTACAGTAACTAATGTATACTTTTTAAGTTAAAAAAAGAAGCACAATTCTGTCAAAGTCCATGTGAAGACTTACGGGCCTCGGACAGTGACATCCTATCTCCAGTGATCATGCTCTTAAATGTTCAAAGTGTGAAAAGTTTCAACTTATTCCCGTCAGTAGTTTTAGAGATACCATCTTGCATGAAGAAAGTTAACCAACACCGACGCCTGGGAGAGTACAATAGCTCTCCCTATGTTTCGAATAGTTGAGCTAGAAAAAAAAAACAAGGAAAAAACATAATTTTTTTCAGTTGTAAGAAATTCATTACGTTCAATTGACATGAATATGTCGCAACACCGCTAAATGTCACACCTAACGCTAAATGTCGCATCATTGCCGCTAAATGTCGCAACCACATGAAAATGTTGCAAAATATTCTACCAGCGGTGGTTGTAACATTTAGCGGCAATAATGCGACATTTAGCGGCAATAGTGCGACATTAAGCGGCAACTGCGGCATTTAGCTAAAAAAAAAGTATTTATAAAAAATAAGTGGGAATGTTCATGTACATGTATACTATCCAAGCCACACACCGATTGCCTGTGGTGTAAACAGGTAAATAACTGACACACGAAAGAGACGAGAAAAACGTGCATTTTACATCAGATTTTGTTTTTGCACGATTTTCTCGTGACTTATCTATTTGTTGCCATGTTGTCGGAAACGGCGTGCATTTCGATATTCATTATTCAATTGTGATTATATACTGTTTCACTGTGATCAAATGAGTGATTAATTCAACCCCGTTAATGAAAAATTGATATATGATCTAAGGATGTAGCATTACAAAAAAAACAACAAAAAAAAACAGAACGTTTTGCTAAAATGAGATGGAAATATTTGATCACGTGGAAACCGTGCATAAAATGGAAATCTTTGATGAAAAGGAAATCTGTGATAGCATGTATGCTATTTTTGTTGACATTGTTTGTATTCCATACTTCATCAAAGGAAAATTTTTCAAGTTATGTCCAAATGTCGAAACACGAGAAGACGTTGAGCCGAAATGTTTCCACGATTCAAGAACAAGACCATTTGATAAACCTTGAAAAGATTACTGACGAATTACAGGACATTAATAAGACATCTGGGAGCTTATATTTTACCAATAACGCCAATTCTATACACATTGCAAATGGAACAAAAGTGCAAACATTTAAGCGAGATACATCTCTGTTCGTAAAGAGCAAAATTGGGCATGAATCAGTGGTGCAAGAGTCGGAAGAGTTTCCAGGCATGCCTGACCCATGTGTGAAACCTAGACGTAAAACTGAGGTTGAAGACATACTATGTATGGTATGAGTCTGTATAATTATTATTATTATTATTATTATTATTATTTTATGAGAAATAATTTCATATTTAGCGATACTTTTTTCAGATGAATAATATAACAGTAAGGATGTCCTAAAACCCTTATTAAAACATTGTACAATTCATGGTTGTTCTTTCTAAAGAAGGAAAATTATATTCGTTTCTGAGCTATGCTTATCCTCCTTAAACCCGTGTAACGAGCAGAAAATAACGAAGGAAATAATCCGTGCGTTTGGTCTTATTATACGGTGAATACACATCTTTTTAAAAGCGATATAAATGAATGTTTCAGGATATCTCAATTATTCTTTTTTCTTTCAGAAACGTCCAGTATTTTCAGTGGAATATAAAAACCCATGTTGGACGGAGGAAGAACAATTCTATTGTTTGCCTTATTTTCATCTGATTGGATTCCCAAAATGTGGGACTACAGATCTTTTTAAACGGCTTTTTATACATCCGGATATTGTTCCAAATTTTGGACGTTTTGGCAAAGAAACTTGGTACTGGTCTTGGAAACGCTTTGCTGTAAGTAAGTACATGTACTAGATTTTTAAGTTTTAAGTATAAACTTATTTATTTTAGCTCGATAATAATGAAAGTTTGAAGCTTGTATTAACCATTCTCGAGTCCGGCATAGGCGGAAACATGGTTGTGGCCATAGAAAGGCTCGAATCCAGGATTGATTAGCAGATACCTTAACCACTAGGTCACCGCTTCTATTATAATATTTAGTTGAGTTTAAGTAGCAGCATTTAGGCTTAAAACGTTCGCAAGTACTATTGCCATTTTCTTATGTCCCCCAGAATATTTTATAGTTTCATAAAAGTATATCAATGGTAATAACTACACAGTAAAGTCATCAATTCTCTCATTCATGAATGGATTTTGAAATTACTAGGCATGTTCGTGTAAGTACTTCCGTTACACATTAAGAAAACATATTACATGCAAATGACAGGTTGACAGTTTGAAAGGTGAAGGTTATACCTGAATTTCAAAATAGTACATGGACGGTCATGTCTGACCATATCTTTGTCAATAACTCATTGTAATTTTTTAATAGTTAGACTCACATTGAATATGAAAAAGTATTTCTTTACGTTTTATGTTCTGGTGACACTCTTTTATAGTAACCATGCCTTTGGTGCAATTCAAAGGTCAAGGTCCTTTCAACCGGCCCTGCGTGGGAGCATTTGTCTGTTTACAACGAAAGTTATTTCATTTTTTCTTTATTTATACCAAATACATTACAAATTATTTATTTACATAAGACAGAGGATGGGACTTGAAGCATGGTATGACCCTCAAAGAGTTCGCAATGCACTTTGATGCAGAAGTGATACGTACAAAGGTCAACAGTCAAGGTCGCCATACAAGAATAACAGGTAAACACAACGGGTTCGTTGTTAATGTCACCTAATACACAAGCTCTAATCACAAATCCCGCCAGGGACTTTGGATTCTTTCATGTAAGTAAGCTATCCAGCTAGCTTACGGAACGCAAGGATACCCCAGGTCTTCCTAAATCAGTAAAGCTGGAAAGTCGCCATACGATCTTTACATTGTTGATGCACCAAAAATAATATATGTACGAGTATATATGTCAATAATTAGAATACATGTACTCGTATAATCAAAAAGTATTTTATGCTAAATAATGTAGTAAGATCAGCTTAAAATTCACAAGTTTATCCTAATGAATCTGTAATGTTTCTACCGAAGCGACATTGAGGAATCATCACAAGTTATATAGATATGCATGAGTGATGATAAAAGGTTTTCACTGATGTAAGACTCTTAGCATACTGGCGGCGACTAAATACACCCATACGGCGACTGAAACCAACTTCGCGGCGACTGACACATCCCATGCGGCGACTCAGTACCCCCATGCGGCGACTAACTCTACCCATGCGGCGACTGAAACCAACTTTGCGGCGACTGACACATCCCATGCGGCGACTCAGTACCCCCATGCGGCGACTGACTCCACCCATGCGGAGACTGACTCCATCCATGCGGCGACTGACTCCACCCATGAGGCGACTGATTCCACACATGCGACAAATGAAAAACAAGATTAGCCCAGCGTCATTTCCATCTAATTAGGGTCTACACTGTTAGCTATTCATACTAATTTTTTATTAATATTGAAATTTCCATACTATCAACAAGAATAGTTTTATCTATAGATGAAAAATTAATCTCTTCAAAAAACCCACAGCATTGAGGGCCAAGTGGTTTGAAGTCAAGACCTTGTCCACTCGAACATGGACTCCCTAAAACATTTAACATTAAATTTAAAATCATTATGCCTTATTCATTTCAATTGATTTCCTAACCATAACATATTTCATTTTAATACAGGTCATGGAGACCCAATGGATAGTTATGATAGATTTAACGAGGAGGCTACGCCCCAAAATATCCCAGGGGCGGAGGAGCTGCTTTGGACAACACCTTTCTCTATACGCCATATCAACCCTAACATAAAACTTTTGCTGATGACGAGGGACCCTGTTGAGAGGTAAATAATAATTTGCAAGATTAAAATGGTATGCTGATGTCGATATTAAAGTAAAGCTAGTTTAGTACATTGATGTCTCAAAATACGTACCTTAAATGAATCAAACGATCATTAGACCTTTCATATTATTTTTTTCGTTGTCACCGGTCTTAATGCCTATGGTTACTGTATGCTTACTAGCATATACGTGCAAAACGGTCGTTAGTTAAACTCCTTCTTTATGCTTAACGGTTATGCACCAGTTTCCTCAATTTTAACCAGTGATTCATTGCTAAATGTTTAAAAAGAAAAATACACGTCATTCATCTTGTTCACAACCTATGTTTCGTTTGCAGGCTGTATTCTCATTATTTTTTCATCAATAACGGGTCATCTGCTCATATTTTTCACGAACACGTGGTGCAGTCTTTGATCCTTTGGAAGGAATGTGTCCTGCACCACTCTATTCGACATTGTATTTATTCTCCTGAACTTAAAAAGGCATTAAAGGTGAGATACTTTCCTTGTATACATGATAGTTCCTTATAAGCAGCAAATTGCCGGCTGTAATCGGGGTATATACATATTATTACATGTTAAAACACATGTTGTAACACAAGTTTGTTCAAACACACGTTGCTTTACTTCACTAGCATGTTTTAATCGTTTACTATACAATTCTTTTTCATACACAGTTTGTGTTTGTTAACACATTTTTTTACTGCGTTTATAAGGTCGCCGCCGGAAAGCCCAAATGGGCGACCGTACACTCAAGTCGGGCCATCCTAGAAATGCCGATATTTTTTTCGTCGATTTTTTCCAGCTTTATTGGTGGAGGTAGACCCCAGGTGCCCCTTCGGGCATTATTTCAGGCACGAGCGGGCACCTGGGTAGAACCACCGACCTTCCGTAAGCCAGCTGGATGGCTTCCTCACATGAAAGATTTCGACCCGAGTGAGGATCGAACCTACAGCGGTGAGGGACCAGTGATCTCAAGTCAGCGACCTTAACACATTTTGTGCAAGTTCGTTTTAAACACATCACTATGTCGCTTTACTATTCTAATGAAGTATATTTAAACATAAGTCATTCAACTACAAGTTGTAGGGAAAGTTTTTATAATTTTAACTGTTTTCAAAATTGTTTGAAAATCGAGAATACAGTTGACAAATCGTCTTTGGTGACCAGTGACCGCCGCAAACTGCGCCCACCGGTTAGGCAACGGCCAGTAAGGGGAGATCACTGCGTGGGAGATTACTGGCCGTAGCGTAACCGGTGCGCGGAGTTTGGGGAGTTGTTACCGCCGTAGACCGGAGTCGATGAGTAGGATACCCGTCTGTGTCATCCAGACGTTCAAAAGTTATCTTGCAAACGTCTTGATCATACAGACTACAATACTTTTTCATGTTTACATTTAATTTTTGGCTTGCAGCCATCATTTCATTTGGAAAACTTGTTCCGGTTAGGTGGTTTCCTGCTTACATCTGTTGGTGCATGATTGAACGGGAAACCAGCTGCAATCGTGCCAATCGCAACTTTTCGGCCTTTTCCGTCACTCTTCGGATTAATGATAATAGCCGATGTAGTTCCGATTGCAATTGTGACAATTCGGGCGATTCCGTCATACTGCGGAATCAGACGAAGTAATATTACGGAAATCTAAGCTATTTTAGTTACTTCGGTAATCCCAGTTTGTTTATATAAATAGGATTTCTATTTTTACTTGATTTATCGGTTTAAACCGTAATAAATTATAAACGAAATTGTTCCGTTTCAATTGTTTTTCAAGACGCAAAAGTTAGTTTCTTTTATAATTGTTTTTTGTCTGTATTAGTTTTATACAATAGAGAATGGTGACTGTAGTAGTATTCCGTCTTCAAAGGGTGGTCCTGCTTACCAAATCACGCATGAACGAGTTATATTTAGATCTACTGAACGCAATTCAACTTCTTGGGGAGGTAATCTAAAAATAGCCCATGCATATCATTAACCTTGCCACGTGCTGATCTACAGATAGCGCATCGTCTATTTGTGATCGTGTAATGTTCATAGTTGATACATGCTTATTAATTGGTACCACGTAACGAAGTATTTTAGTGCATTTACTTGTAATGATTTCGCTGCGAAAAAGGGAAAATGAAATGTGGACACTTGTTTTCCTTCAGTATCACGTTAGTATTTTTACGATTGATCATTTTCTTTATTAGTTTTATACAATAGAGAATAGATGACAAAAAATATTCGGTTTTCCAACTAAATAAACCCTTTATGATATACAAATTATTATAAATACCGTAATTCAAAAAAAAATGTGATAATAAATTGAAACAAAAAAAAAACAATTTTAAAGGGTTGGGAAGAAGGCACAACTGTGCAAGCCTTTCCTTTTAAAAGGAAACTTTATTTTTAATTGCACATGAATATTCTTTCATATACCCATTTGAAACTTCCGTATGTGCATGAAGTATAGAATTTACAAATTTATTTGAAAAACATTTACAACGTTTATTTACCAATCAAGTACGGTGCTCCTCCATGTACCGAAACTGGTCACGTGCTCCACCATGTCTCAGAAATTAACAGGGATTTTAATACAGTCGTTTAGCTGTAAAAGCATGGCGTAACTGTACAGGCTAATTCCAACACGTTTCGTTTAACTAAACAAGTATTTTTAAACACATGCCGTTTTACTATACAAGTATGTTTAAACATACTTGTTTGTTCAAACACATGTCGTTTTTTATACAAATATATTTAAACACATATTGTTTACTATACACATATGTTTAAAAAATATGTCACTTTACTGTATTAATATGTTTGAACTTATGTCGTTTTAATATATTATTACATGCATGCTCTAACAAATCATTTCCAGGTGCCAATATATGTGAGTTTCTACATAGTACATTTGAAAGAATGGCTGAAAGCGTTTCCAAGGGAACAGATATTCATATTCAGAAATGAGGATTATTCCGTAAATATCAAAGAAACATTAATACAGATTTTTAAATTCCTGGATATTGGTTGGTATTAATTTCTGACATTTTTATGCTCTTCTTGTTCTTGCTTTTAAAAGAAATAGATCCTATTATATGTTATTTTGGTTTTGGAGTGATATATGTGGATATATTACCTGTGAAGATTTTATATCACCGTAGGCTCGGGTGATATTTTATTTTGGCAGGTAATCTATCCACATATATCACTCCAAAACCAAAATAATAATTTTATTACCCTTCCCCTGCCGAGTTAAGACGATTTTAAAATAAATCATTGCTACCTCAAATGAAACGTCGAAATAAGATTCCCTTTAGGGTACCCCTTCATCTACATGACGTCACATAAATACATGACGTATTTTCTTCCGAACCTAACGAATGTAAACAAGAGAAAAGGAGTAGTCTGTTGAACGCAGTTGTTTGGAATTGATATCAAGCTTTCACAATGTCATATTTGTTTTCAATACTAATGAGAATATGTATCATTACTCTATTTTGGTAAATATTTATCATTTGACAGTTAAAAAGTGCTTGTAAATCGGAATTTACATCGCGTAAAATCAAACCGTACGCGCATCGCCACAGCGCATGTTGTTTAGAACGTGGGGTACCCAACGGGGAAATTTAGTGTGTATATTACCCGTCTGGCTCGGTAATATCAATTTCTTTCGGGTGATCAATATCCAATCAAAATGGCGGAAAAAATCTGGAAAGGTAATAAAAATAAATGTGTTTAAACTCATGCTAAACACGCTTTCTGTCCGTGCCAAAAGATTTGGACCGTCTTACCATCCTGTATGTTGTAATTAAGGATGTAACAACATTTAATTGAAATTTTATATATACAAATGTATGTTTATCCTTATTCTTCTTTATTCTCGAACATGAAATAATATGTTAAATATGTTCTGCAAATGTGTATTTGCATTATAAGTAATCATTTGCAGTACATATTTGAGCTGTGCCATGACAAAACCAACATAATGGGTTTGCGACCAGAGCTGCATTACTGGTACTGGTACTGGTACTGCAGTACGTACTGCAGCAATTTTGCAAGTACTGGTACTGATACTGAATTACTCTTACAAAATTTTGCTACTACTGGTACTGGTACTGCATTACTGTCTTAAAAAGTGGTACTGCTACTGCATTACCCAGTACTTTTGGTTTTGATAGAAATTAAAAATAGCATCAATTTTCCTCATAAAATAAAGCTGTAAATTACATTAACTATATTTTTGTGAAAAGTAAGTTATCAAATCTAAAGATAATTTGCTGCAATATTCTTCAAATGTTAACATAGTATTCATCATAAAAAGCACCAAAGACTTTAAGTAAATAAACAGACTCAATAACTCTTTACCCTAAAATATCCTTATTAAAATCTTTTATTACTTTGTATTTACTAGTAAAAGAGCAAAATAAACAGTAATTAATTTCTTCTATTCTAAATAATCCCATTTCAAATGAAAAAAGTGACATTGTTAGCACCATAAAAAGTTGTCATTTACTTTGGTATAAATTGAACAGGGGTGTGAAAGGCAACAAAAGACTGTTGTGTTTTAAATGAAAGATGTTTGCGTTGTATTTATACACTTGACTGGTTACTAAACAATTAGATATGACATGAATATATGTTGTAAATATTGTTTGTAAAAAGTATGTTAAAACCATAAAGTTGTAAATATGTTATGTTAACTTTAAAGTAAATGATTTTATTTCTTTGCTGAATAATATTTGCAATTATTTGTTTGAGACTGTATTTATTCAAACTTTGATGAATATATAAAAGTAATGGTACTGATACTTAATTACTTCACCAAAAAAAGTACTGGTACTGCAGTACCGAGCTAAAATCTAGTACTGGTACTGGTAATGGTACTGCATAATTTGCCAAGTACTGGTACTGGTACTTAAGTACTACACCCTTAGTACTGATGCAGCTCTGTTTGCGACCAGCATGGATCCAGACCAGCCTGCGCATCCGCGCAGTCAGATCAGGATCCATGCTGTTCGCTTACAAACTCTTGAACAAGTAAAGAAACCGATAGCGAACAGCATGGATCCTGATCAGACTGCGCGCATGCGCAGGCTGATCTGGATCCATGCTGGTCGCAAACCCATTATGTTAGTTTTGTCATGGCGCGGCTCATTTATTTTTTTCAATTAGAAAGGATAGCATAGATTCTTATTAAAAAATTTGGCTTAGACTCTATCGAAAATAGATTTGTAATTACCTCCCTTTATTTACATGAAATGTACATTCGGTAATATCTTTAGAAATAATGCATTTTGAACTTACAATATTGATCATTCTTTATTTGAATATCACATTTATGATATAAAACCAAATAAAATTGAGTTACAGAATTCTTAAGTCATCGCACCCCAGCAACAGCGGGTTTGCTAAATGCGTTTAGATTTACCCTGCGTTATTTTGAAGCAAAGAGAACCAACAAAACTGAGCTTAAGACTTTGATCATTTCCCAACTATCCCTCGCAATGATTTAGTAATGGTGACTGTGATTCATATATTATGGGTACACAGTTCAGACTTGTGCGTTTAATTTTATTGTTAATATCGTTTTTTATAACACCATAACATTTTATCATTGTTTAAAGAAAACATGCGGTATCTGTGACTGGGTAGCTAAGGTATCTGTGGCTGAGAATCTAAGGTGTCTGTGGCTTAGTAGCTTAGGTATCTGTGACTGAGTAGCTAAGGTATCTGCGACTGAGTGGCTCAGGTACATGTGCCTGAGTAGCTAAGGTATATGCGGCTGAGTGGCTAAGGTATCTGTGGGTGAGCAGCTAAGGTAATTGTGCCTGTGTAGCAAAAGCATATGTGGATGATTGGCTAAGGTACATGAGACTGAGTAGCTAAGGTATATATGGCTGAGTAGCTAAGGTATCTGTGGCTGAATACTAGTAGCTAAGGTATCTGTGGCTGAATAGCTAAGGTATATGCGGCTGAGTGGCTCAGGTACATGTGCCTGAGTAGCTAAGGTATATGCGGCTGAGTGGCTAAGGTATCTGTGGGTGAGTAGCTAAGTAAATTGTGCCTGTGTAGCAAAATCATATGTGGATGATTGGCTAAGGTACATGAGACTGAGTAGCTAAGGTATCTTTTGCTGAGTAGCTAAGGTATCTGTGGCTGAATAGCTAAGGTATCTGTAGCTGAGTAGCTAAGGTATCTGTGACCGAGTTGCTAAGGTATATGTGGCTGAGAAGCTAAGGTGTCTGTGGCTGAGAAGCTAAGGTACCGGGGTATCTGTGGCTGAGTTGCTAAAGGTATCTGTGGCTGAGTTGCTAAGGTATCTGTAGCTGAGTAGCTAAGGTATCTGTGGCTGAGTTGCTAAGGTATATGTGGCTGAGTTGCTAAGGTATATGTGGCTGAGAAGCTAAGGTGTCTGTGGCTGTGAAGCTAAGGTACCGGGGTATCTGTGGCTGAGTAGCTAAGGTACCTGTGGCTGAATTGCTAAGGTATCTGTAGCTGAGTAGCTAAGGTAGCTGTGGCTGAGTTGCTAAGGTACCGGGGTATCTGTGGCTGAGTTCCTAAGGTACCTGTGGCTGAGTTGCTAAGGTACCGGGGTATCTGTAGCTGAGTAGCTAAGGTACCTGTGGCTGAGTTGCTAAGGTACCGGGGTATCTGTAGCTGAGTTGCTAAGGTACCTGTGGCTGAGTTGCTAAGGTATATGTGGCTGAGAAGCTAAGGTGTCTGTGGCTGAGTTGCTAAGGTATCTGTGGCTGATTAGCTAAGGTATCTGTGGCTGAGTTGCTAAGGTATATGTGGCTGAGTTGCTAAGGTATATGTGGCTGAGAAGGTAAGGTGTCTGTGGCTGAGAAGCTAAGGTACCGGGGTATCTGTGACTGTGTAGCTAAGGTACCTGTGGCTGAGTTGCTAAGGTATCTGTAGCTGAGTAGCTAAGGTATCTGTGGCTGAGTTGCCAAGGTATCTGTAGCTGAGTAGCTAAGGTACCTGTGGCTGAGTTGCTAAAGTTTATGTGGCTGAGTTGCTAAGGTATCTGTAGCTGAGTAGCTAAGGTACCTGTGGCTGAGTTGGTAAGGTGCCGGGGTATCTGTGGCTGAGTAGCTAAGGTACCTGTGGCTGAGTTGCTAAGGTATCTGTAGCTGAGTAGGTAAGGTACCTGTGGCTGAGTTGCTAAGGTATCTGTAGCTGAGTAGCTAAGGTATCTTTTGCTGAGTTGCTAAGGTATCTGTGGCTGAATAGCTAAGGTATATGTGGCTGAATAGCTAAGGTACCTGTGGCTGAGTTGCTAAGGAATCTGTAGCTGAGTAGCTAAGGTATCTTTTGCTAAGTTGCTAACGTTTCTGTTGCTGAGTAGCTAGGGTATCTGTGGCTGTGTAGCTAAGGTATATGTGGCTGAGTAGCTAAGGTATTTGTGGCTGAGTAGCTTAGGTATCTGCGGCTGAATGGCTAAGGTATCTGTGGCTGTGTAGCTAAGGTATCTGTGGCTGAGTGTCTAAGGTACCTGGGTATCTGTGGTATCTAGGGCTGAGTGGTTAAGGTATATGTGGGTTGAGTAACTAAGATATCTGTGACTGAGTAGCTACGGTACCTATGGCTGAGTTACTAACGTACCTGCGGCTAAGTGGCTAAGGTCAGTTACTTTAAGTCATTTGCCCATTAATATTTTTTTTAGTTTTAATCCTGTCCGTGATATTCAGGGGTTTTCGTGTGAGCGTGTACGAAAATAGTTTCTAGATTGTGCCAGAAATAAAACAACATAAAAGATGAAATATGAAAACACAAAACTATGCCGAATTATGCGGAATTGTCAAGGTCATGTTGCATATTGAATGTCTATTACACAAGAGCTTTTTAATGGTCATATAGCATATTGGATATTAATAACATACGTGAAATGTCGATTTTTAACCGAATTTTATTGATCTGTTATAAAATTTTCTTTTTTTCCCTAGCTATTCCGGACGAAGCTCTTCTGAACAAAATGGAATCATTGCCGCTCTTTTATGAAACAAAAAGCAAGAAAAAAGCCGGGCCTATGCTAGCCGAGACCAAAGCAATACTCGTGGACTTTTATAGGCCATATAATGAAGAACTTGCGATGTTTCTCAAAGATGATAGATTCTTATTCAAAGATCGCTCATTTAAAAGTTTTTAGCCGAAATACATGTACGAAAGCTGCGTGGTTCTTTAATGTTTTTTGCACACGTGGTAATTCTAAAAGACTTCCTGCAAGTCTAGACTCAAAATGATTCACATTTCCTTGAAGTGTGGCCACGCGCTAAACTGTCGTCTGCTTTAGTTATTTTGTAAATCAAGAAGAGTTAATTCAAAGAATTTCTCATTACCAATGTTCCAAGAGAAAGACGTGCGTTCCTACCGAGTTTGATTTTTTAGGCAAAGTTGCCGTTGAGAATCATTTATAATAAAGTGTGATGACGAACGCTGCATGTTAGAACTACAGTTCATATTGAAGGAAAGAGTGGGGGGACCTGTTTGCATTTAAAATATGTTCTTGCGATATATTGGAAGAGATATTGGTTATAAAACGTAAAGAATGCATAATGTATAGAAATAAAAAATATATAATTTACCAAACGAATCATATCATAACTTGTTGGGTATTTTTTATGCTCCCCGAAGGGTGAGCATATAGTCGCTGCTTTGTCCGTCCGTCCGTCCGTCCACTAGTCTTGTCCGGGACTTTGAAACAACAAGAGATATCAACATGAAACTTTGTAGGTAAATAAATATCATTATGTAAAAGTGCAGTGCAAAGGAACCGTAACTCTGTCTTGCTTAATTTTGGAATTATTGCCCTTTGTTCATTTTTTTATTTTTGAACTTTGTCCAGAATATAACTCTAAAACTATAAGAGAAACCAACATGAGTTTTTGTAAATAGATATATCTCAATGGGTAGAAGTGCATGCAATGCAAAAGAATCATAACTCTGTCTTGCCTAATTTTTGAGTTATCGCCCTTTGTTTATTTTTACACTTTGAACTTTGTCCATAATATAACTCGGAAACTATAAGAGATATCAACATGAAACTTTATATGTAGATAGATCTTATTGGGTAAAAGTTCAGAGCAAAAGAACCACAACTCTGCCTTGCCTTAGTTTGGAGTTATTGCCCTTTGTTCATTTGAACTTTTTCAAGGACATAACTCTGAAACTATAAGGGATATCAACATGAAACTTTGTAGGTAGATAGATCTCATTAGGTAGAAGTGCAAAAGAACCATTACTCTGCCTTGCCTAATTTTGGAGTTATTGCACTTTGTTGTTCATTTTTTTTTCACTTTGAACTTTGTCTGGGACTTAACTCTGAAACTACTAAGAGGTATACTTTTCTGTGTCCAAAACCTATTCGGGGAGCATCACCCGGTTCAACCGGCTCTTGTTTTAAGAAGAAAAAGGAGAAGAAGAAGAAGAAGAACGTTTATTTCACTTAAACTACAAGTTTCTCGTGATTAACATACATGTATATACAAGCATACATATATAATGACATGAAAAATACAATGACATGAAAGTAAACATAATAATTATATTGGATGGACGAAACAAAATAGAGATGACACAAATATTAAAGCATAATGGCTATTACATACACAGTAGTATACACAATAAAACTTTTCATTAGTTTGAACCTGTTAGGTATACATAAAAGTAGGTTGAAATACATATCTAAGCATTAATAATCTGATATCGTAATTTGAAAGTTTTCATTAATATATTGACAAAGCATAATTGTTTCTTTATTTTTATCACTTTTTAATAATTGAGTAAACTTAAACATACTTGGTCTATTTCTATAATAATTCTTAATATATATATTTCTTAAATTTTCATATGCAGGACACTTAAACACAAAATGGAAACTCGTCCTCAATTTCATTTGTATTGAAAATTAAACAATATCTTAAATTAGGCTCTACTCTTTTCACGTGAATATCTACCTGTCTGTAATTCTAAGATTATGAAGCTGAAATACGCAGTTTTGTCAAAAGCTATTCTTAGTCTTCTTGATACAATATTTTCTAAATAAGGTGACATTTCAAAACTGTCCTTTACTGATTTATATAAAAATAATACATCATTACAATTAATACTAGCTCTCCATTCTTGTAAATATTCATCTATTAATCTCTGTTTAAAGACGACAATAAAACAAGTTTAAGTTGTTGTGTTTGGTAAGACTCTTGAGGATTTAAATTTCACATTAACTCATAAGAAATGCCAAACACATGTTTGATAATATTTTGATAATAATGTATCTAAAGCATGTTTGATGTTTTAAAAACCAAAGCAAGTAACGCTGAGTACCAAACATGCAATAATGTGCGATGTAAACAAAGCAGTATTTTGATTTCCATACACAATTCTTTTTCACTGTAATAATACCCATTGCCAGTAGAGTTTAAGGGGCAATTAAATAATATTTCGGGATCTGTTACAAGATACCGTATCAGTTGCAGTGTAAAGGGTAAGGAAAATTAACTCTTCAAACTCAACTTCCCGTATATCTGAAAACGTTGCGTCCCTTTCTACGTTTAGATATGCTATTCTTTTCTGTAAGGTGTTGACTACTATGTTTTGAAGACAATATTTTATCATTTGTTTCTGTGACATATGTACACAAATAAAAAGATAATAATTATTTTAATAATAATAATAATAATAATGATAATAATTATAATTATAATAATGATGATGATGATGACGATGATGATAATAATAATAATAATAATAATAATAATAATAATAATAATAATAATAATAATGATGACGATGATGATTTTATTTTGATATTGTGATCATAATAGTTATTATCATGACTATTATCACTATTATCATTATCTGTTAAAGTGTGACTATAAACAGTCATTTAACTATATTATAGACTCTCTGAAGAGAGTTTTCATAATTTATACAAAACCAATTTCGCCCCGTATTAATTTTCGATTAAACTAGGCAATTAGAAATAAGTTCTGCTTGTTTTGATTTATAAATATATTTATATGTCAATAATTTGACCTCCGCGTACTTTTAGCACTTCGTGATACTAACTATAAAATTTAATTTCAGTTTATGTTGTCGACACGGTGTTTGGGTAAATAACACTTACGTTGTAACCGATCAATTAAACACACAATGGTTTATTCTTGTTTATTCCTTTGGAAGTGGAAAATCTAATTTCCGCCAATTATTCTGTTTTCGTGTTTTATAACAACAAGGGAATTGATTCAACAACTACATTTCTTGTAGCGTTTACCTACTGATTGATACCTCTTTTCTGTAACCGGACGTTTTGTAGTTTGAAAATAGTATACTAAAACGTATAGTAAGAAAGAAGTACGTAGAAAAAAAACATAGTACTTTTTATATAAAATTATTATTAAGAGTGTCATCATAGCTTATTGCAACGTAAGCAATACAGTACAGTACAGTACAGCACAGCACAGCACTGCACCGCACCGCACCGCACCGCACATCACTACACCGCACCACACCACACTACACTAGTGACTACACCACAACGCATCACACTTCACTACACCACACCACACCACACTACACTAGCGACTACACCACAACGCACCGCACTTCACTACACCACACCACACCACACTACACTAGTGACTACATCACAACGCACCGCACTTCACTACACCGCACCACACCACACTACAATAGTGACTACACCACACCACACCACACCGCACCGCACTACACTATTTCTTTATTTAGTCAATGTTACAAGTTATGTAACAACGGGCATTAATAAACATGTGTGGGTATGTAACACCGCACTTTGGGGTCCAACGCACTTTGGGCTCCGACCCCAAAGTGCGTTAAACTTCGCATCGCACTTTGGGGTCCAACGCACTTTGGAGTCAAAATCGAGAAATCGACCCCAAAGTGCGTTAATTTGCTACATATCAACGCACTTTGGGTTCCAGAGGTATAAAGGTGTCATCTATGTTCTGCTTAATTACTGAGTACTGACATATTTTCGTTCTGCGACATTGAAATAGTTGAGGTGGAGTTCAAGATGGCGGTCGATACTTTGTTTGCTGCTTAAGTGATAAAAGTTTCATTAATTTAACCGCTTGAAATATCTAAAAATTGTGTTCATAAAACAAAGTTACGGAAGAGCAATAGTACCGAAGAGCATTAGTGCCAGGTGTATGTTTTTATTAACTCGAAATTTCGAGTTACTAACTCGAAATTTCGACTTACTTATCTCGAAATTTCGACTTACTAACTCGAAATTTCGACTTAGTAACTCGAAATTTCGAGTTACTTATCTCGAAATTTCGAGTTACTAACCCGAAATTTCGACTTACTATCTCGAAATTTCGAGTTACCAACTCGAAATTTCGACTTACTAACTCGAAATTTCGACTTAGTAACTCGAAATTTCGACTTATTTACATTACAAGAATGGCCAAAGTTATTAGTTAGATGGTATAAGATATAGTAGGGAGTGCCGTTGAACGATGGAGATGGAGGAACGGGTGCCTGGACAAAAACTATTGAAATGAAACTTAAACTTAGTAATGGCATGTACACACCCGACCTAAAAAACAAGGCTTCCTTTTAATTTGTACGTTCAGGCGTTATTCACACATTTGTATTGTATCCCATCTGTTTCGAACATATCTTTTCGGCTAATCATATTCTTCTCATCCCTGTGAATAAAACGACCCTATACTTCACGTGTGGGACATCTGAGGAAAGTATCGCGGCGTGGCCAAAATAGGGCGTGCTGAGGCCTTTGTCAAAATTGTTGGACTGACTATATTTCTTGTAAAATCGGATGCTTTTATATTATTCCAATCATATATATAACAACAAGTTCCACTTTTATCAACACAATATGAAAAAGATGGTTCAGGTAATTGGCCAATGTGCATTTTTTGGATATTATAGAAGAACATCAAAATAAAAAAAAGCTTTTAAGAAAAACAAATAAAAGCATAATGGGCCTTTAAAACGTTATTTTTAAACCTCGGGGGGTCGATACCCCACAATCCCCTCTAGATCCCCAGTGGAATTTTACAATTTGCGACTACCTAAATAGTTTAATATGATCTACACCTAGTCAAGTTTCTAATATGTCACATTTAGCTAAATAAATGGCTCCTTCAACATACAATCAGGTACATTTTTTAACTGAAATGTCTTACTAACATTTCCCAGAATTTATACCTTTGTCTTTGCTAAGACTATCATATTTCTATAAAATGTGTAAATAAAAAAAACCGGGAAAATGATGCAATTAGCTAAAAAAAACAATGCAGTTAATGAAAGGTGTACATTCTTTTAAAACAAATGGAAAATTTGAGAAAAATATATTTTGAGCTTAATAATTGATACAAATTCTTTATTTGGTGAAAGTTTTTCCCCATTTAAATTCCCAATTATTTTACTAAAATTCAGAGCACATGTTTTGCGTCTATTTAATACCTTGATTTTTGTTAACCATTGGCTTTGACTACAATGTACAATATATTTAAAACATAATGGAAATTAATGTTTTTGACCCCAAAGTGCGGTCGTTTGTCTGATGTTGCATATGTACCTGTTTAACGCACTTTGGGGTCGAAATTGGACCCCAAAGTGCGTAACACGCTTTAAGTTACACGCAAATTACTAAAAAGAGGTCAAAATATGCAAAAGTACATGTAGTCTAAACGCAGTCACGAAGTAGAAACATATAAAATTATTTGATATATATTGCAAAGTCAGTCATTAATCGCACTTAACATGTAAATTATTTCTAGGATCTTGAATCTTTTTAACTTTTATTTAAACCTTTGTACATTTTTGCCAGGGTCATTTTCTAAATGTAATTGGGCTGAAGGCTAAGGGCAATTTCCTATGACAATGACAATAAAACGATTGAAAACAAACGAATTTCTCAGACTATTTTTGTTTGTTCACATTTATACAGTGATAAAAAAAACTAAGACAAGAATCTAAGTTATACATTTTAAATACGATAAAGATAATATAAAGTAATTAAACATAAAACTTACAATGGAAACAATAATAATTGAGCCGCGCCATGACAAAACCAACATAATGGGTTTGCAACCAGCATGGATCCAGACCAGCCTGCGCATCCGCGCAATCTGATCAGCATCCATGCTGTTCGCTATCAGTTCTCTACTAGTTATAGGGTTTGTAAGCGATCAGCATGGATCCTGATCAAACGAATACTCTTCTGAAGGACTCGTTTATATGAGCAACTGGTCGCAAGTATAACTAAACTTAAGTGCACACACATTTACGTAATGTATTTCATTTTAACACTTAAACTTCTTCTACCTTTGCAGACGAAGTTCATGGTCAACACTGCTTGCTTTTTCATCGGTAAATACTTTTCTTAAAAACGATAAATGGTTTTTAATCCAGAATGATTTTAAGATAAATGGATTTGTATGGATAAAGAGTGTTAAAGATGCGCAAGTCCATTAAAGACGTTTTGTATAGACTCGAGGCGGCTACATTGAAAGATTATTTACTTATCTAGTAATAAAGAAACAGTGCAAAAAGATTATTTTCAACTATTGTATAATGATAGATAAGAAATAGTGTTTAAATAGCCCGTCGCGATTTTTTGTAAAATTTCATAATCTTAAGCCATGATCCGTTTTATAAACGACGCCCTACCTTTGACACTGATAAATACGTTGGGGTTTTTTTTGTTGTTTTTTTTTTGTTAAGTTAAGTTAAGTTTATTCAGTACTGATTACAATTGATTTTTACAGTCACGTTGACCAAGTTAAGCTATTTTTTGTAAAAATAAAGTTCTAGGGAACACCTTGTATATCCTGGAACGTTGGAATTTTTTTTTGTATAACTGTCTTTGCACTTTAAACACATATCAGATGCTACAGTATATAGTCGTAATTCAATTTAAGATTTTATTTTTAATATCGAATTTACGTCTACTTCGTTTAGGATTTATTGTTACCTATGTTTGTCTAAATGAATGTGTAAGTATGTATTGACGATTTTGACATGAAATGTGGTTCTCACGTTGGAAATACGTACAATTTTATTAACGGCAGCACCCCTAACTTAACTACGAAAGACCGGTAGGTCCATTTCAACTTCATGAATTCCCGATATCATCTTCATGAATTCACAATTCTATCTTCGTGAATTCACGTTTTCAATATACGGAATTCACGAATTCACGATTACACCTTCATGAATTCCTCATTTCAACTTCACAAATTCACGACTTCATCTTCAAGAATTCACGATTTCAACTTCACGAATTCACGATTTCAACTTCACGAATTCACGATTTCAATTTCACGAACTAACGATATCCAATTCGTGAAGTTGAAATCATGAATTCGTGGTGTTGAAATCATGAATGCATAAAGATGAACTCGGGAATTCATGAAGATGAAATCGGGAATTCATGAAGTTGAAATGCCCCCACCGGTCTTTCGTACTTAACGCGGCAACACATTCTAAACAGACACAAGTCTATTAAAAATAATTTGTGTAGTTAGACCGGTTGTAAAAGAAGCACGCATGAAAGAAATATTCTTGTAACAAAATATACTGATAGATCTATAACATTGGGACTTTAATTATTATTTCTAACAGATACTCTTTTACCTACATGTCTGCGATGATCATCAAATCACAAAACAAAAATTCAACAGGATATGTTTGAATAAATATAAATATGAAAATACAGCAGTGAGCGGTTTAAATATTTTGATATATTCTGAGCAGTTGAATTGAAATGAAAATGTCACACAAAATTTCTGTCACGGAATTAATATATATGTAAATTCAGCTATATGTGAAAAAATAATATAAAAAGTAGTACTTGCTGATAAATAAAGCAATTTCTTGAAGATAGTTACGTTCTCCGTGTGTTTCAAAAAAGTTTTGATAAAAACTTGAATGGAATTCAAACCAAATTTATCATTTTTTTTTTTTGACTATTCATTTATGAAATGTCGAACTATTCAAACCGCTCAAAATGAACACATATGGACTAATTTTGAGCTTTATAACTACATTATGTTTTATAGATGTGTATACTGAAAACAGAAACAGTGACAACACCAATAACAAACAACAAAAACAACAAAACAACAAAAATATGCTAAGAGAGAGGCTACATGGACAGTTTTAAAATCAAGTTTTAACGAGGACTGAATAGTTAGTTATAAAGACTCATCGTGCGGATTTAAGCCTTGATTGATTTGAAACTGTTTAAAATGTGATGATAAACTCGGTGAATACAGCTCGGAATTTGTATAAACTATACGCACGAATAAAGTTTTATTAGTTTATATGAAGATGTTAATATTAATTATATTTATTTGCGCTTGATTAGGTCTCTTAGGCAAGGTCAATTGAACATTTTAAATCAATTTAATTTGACTATTGGTAGATCCCTAGTTAAGAACATAAACATAAGTACGTGAATAGAGAAATATAAATTTCGAATTTGTTTCAAAAGAAATTTGCTTTTCTGAGTTTATTTTTTTCAACTATACCTCCATGCTTTATGAATATCTTAAGATATTTAGATTTTAGCACCAATTCGGCCAGTTTAACAAAATAAGAAGGAAAGGGAGAAATCGGCTTAACGCGGAATGATATAATATTATATATATATTATTATTAAAGGGATTACTTTAATAATATACCACAGACCTTCAACAGTTTGTATAAATTGTTGTGTAACGTTGTTCAATATAATATTTATAAGGGAGTGGTTTACTAGAAGGAGTTATTAGAAGACTACGAATTTGTCAACACTACAATGCGACAAACATTCACTGAAATATAGGGGAAAAAACTGATTTATAAAAGAAAAAGACATCGAAAGATTAAAGGAGCAAACGTTCTTGGATTTTCAAGACTTTGGATATAGTAATTGTTGAATTAGTGACAATATATGTTTAAATGCATCTTTTTGTGTAGGAAAAGTTGTGAAATAATAAATTGACTAAAAGAGACGAAACAAAAGTTTTAAAATTTATTTTGGAAAAAAAATTGCCTGTCAACCATGGTATTTTCTTCTCGGAAGCTATTTTGTAACGCAGGTTTGCCTGAAATGAGACTCCCTTCGATTTCAGAATCGTCCTCTGGCTCGCAGACATCATCCACTTCTCCAAGGTCATTAAAGACGTCTAGGACACGAGAAGATGAAAATCCTTTTAGAAGAAACTCTCGTCGTATATCGATCTCGTCGTCCACCTCATCTTTATCCAGCTCAAACGACTCATCATCGACATTAAAACCTCCTGCACTCTCTCCAAAACAAAGACGTACATCTTTCGATCAGAGTAGGAGAAGTAATTCAATAGACCTCACCACATCAGAGGAAATTATGAAGAAACTACAGAAGCGTAGGCAAAGTTCTGTTCTTAACATTATGCCCGACGGTAGAAAAGCTTCGTTTGGCTCTATCGGAGCACGTGTTACAACAATTCTTAAAGCCAAAAACGCATTTGCTTTGCTTGCAAAAAAGCGGCACAATGTTAAAGATGACACTGAAGAGCATGATAAAGAATACGAAATTGAGGAACTACCCAAAGAACCGAGATTCGCTTCAACCTTATCTGCTGAAGCTCAGTACGCCATGATGAAAGGATATGAAGATGTTGTTTACAGCAATTTATGCCGACATTATCCGGAATACCGACCTATGCTTCGACGAAACCAAACCCCACATACAGGAATTATTGTGAAGTCAATGAGACAAAAGTTCGGCGATAAATATGTGTTTGACGCAACGAAAACAAGCGAAGGTATTGTTAAAGTTAATGGTAGCGTGGACAGCAAAGCTGTTGATTCTGTAGATTCAAGAGACACTGATGGACCTGTGTCTGCATCCACACCAAAGTCAGATGACATTTTGTCTCCTCGACAAACAATGAATACTTCGTCTGATCCCGAATTAAAGGAAAATAACGAATCACAACGCACGACAAAAAAGGTATCGTCATTTCCAAAAGGCGCTAGAAACTCAATGGTTGACGGTATGAAAACGGCCGAGGAAGAAAAAGATACGAAGAAAAAACTTGTTATGACATATAGGTATCAACGTGCAATGGATATCCTCGACAGTTTGCGGGAACATCAAGGGGTGCACGCTTTGTCGCCAAGAAAGAGGGACGATCGGCGCATCGAACCTTTGAAAGACTATAACTCTTGGTCGCATGTTTGGACACGTGAATTCGAGCCAAAACGTTCTATGGAAATCGCCTAGGAAAATGCATAATTAAACATTCTAGAATAGAATGAAAGACATATTAATTGCAATATTAAGAAAAATGCATTTAGTAGATGCAAAGACGAGGTCATCAAAAATGTGTATCTTTATCTATTTTATAAATCATATTATTTATAGCATATTCGTATTGTAAAAAAAAAAAACGTCTTCACTTTCTGCTTTGATTTAAACATCTACATTTTAATAATGAATAACTTTGTGATCACACGTTATTCAACTCCAGTGTAATGTTTAAAGTATTGGATCGTTATTTATGTAGTATACGCATGACCATGTAATATTACCTTATAGTTTGTATATGTTTCAAATTTATTAAATATTTATTCTATGTTTGCTGTGTAACATTAACATTGCTATTGTACATCATTATATTTAAACATATGTATATACATTATTTATATCACATTAAATACTTCTGCAAACAATGCCTGCATTAGCACTTTATTTCATTTGCGTACAAAATTTAATAGTAATTCTGCTCTTGGTGTATGGCTGTTGTAGGTGAAATTAGCATCGATGTTTTTAATGCGTTTATTTAATGCCCATACGGGCGACCGTACACTCAAGTCGGGCCATCCTAGAGCGTCCTGTCGAGATTTTTTCGTCGATTTATTTCCAGCTTTTATTGGTGGAGGAAGACCCCAGGTTCCCCTTGCGGGCATTATTTCAGGCACGAGCGGACACCTGGGTAGAACCACCGACCTTCCGTAAGCCAGCTGGATCGCTTCCTCACATGAAAGATTTCGACCCGAGTGAGGATCGAACCTACAGCGGTGAGGGACCTGTGATCTCAAGTCAGCGACCCTAACCACTCGGCCACGTAGGCCCCTAATTAGCATCGAAACACGAGGATATCTGATTCAAACAAGGGTCGTAGCCACCGTGTTTAAATCAGATTGCCAAGTGTTTAGATGTTCTTTCTCTTTTGTATCATATACAAAAATAAAAACACGTTCCCTGTTGTCACAATATGAAACCCTAGAAAAAAAGTAAGCAATGCACGAGGATCTGAATATGACTTTTCGTCCCTTCGTCCGTTATCTTTTTCCCCTTCGTCATAATAAGTAAACCCCAGATTAAGAAATAACCAATCAACTGACAGGCTCTATTTCTATCCCCGAAAGACAGCGGGGTAGCTCGTGACTAAACATATGTGGGTATACGATTTGACTTAATAAAAAGGTCTCCAAACTATGATACAAAGCTGTATTGTTTCATATTTTGGAGACCTTTCTATTGAAAATAGAACATGAAAGTGGATTGGCTGATTTTTTCTGGGGTTTACTGATTATGACGAATTTTAAGGTATTTTTTTATTCAGGGAGACAGTTCTATCGTGAAAGAGGTAGTCAAGTCGCCATGGAGATAGCTCTTAGTTAAATTTATATACTGTATATACACGTCTTTCAGGATTGTTACTTGTTCCATTCTCTGTGAAGGTTATGAATCGAGAAAACACTTTATCTTTGATTTCCTTCTCTAAACTCGCACAAGCTAGAGATTAGAGATTTGGTATGAAACATTGTCTAGTTGGCCGCTAGGAGTTATTCAAAATATAACCTGGGTTCAAAATTGAATCAGCAATCGGTGACTTTCATAGCAAGAAGTTACTAATCTTGACAATAACTTATTTCCATACTATCCACTGACTTCCATTGGAACCATTGACTATCCATAGCAACGTGTGAGTTCAATAGCAACCATCGGATTTCAAAAGCAAATAGTAACAACCATAGAAAACATTGACCTCCCTTAGCAATATGTGCTAAAAGACACATTAACCCTCAGAAATCCATATTTTTAGAAATGTCAAACATGTGTTTTATAATATTTTGATATTTGATTTAGAGCATATAAAATTTTGCGCTGAATATGTATATTTGAGCCGCGTCACGACAAAACCAACATAATGGGTTTGCGACCAGCATGGATCCAGACCAGCCTGCGCAGTCTGATCAGGGTCCATGCTGTTCGCTGTCAGTTTCTCTACTTGTAATAGAGTTGGTAAGCGAACAGCATAGATCCTGATCAGACTGCGCGGATGCGCAGGCTGGTCTGGATCCATGCTGGTCGCAAACGCATTATGTTGGTTTCGTCGTGACGCGGCTCAGCCTCATATGTATAATAAAGGTAACGAATGGTAAACAATGTAGTAATTTGAATTGCATACAAAGTACTCATTCACTATGATTATACTCATTTCCAACCGAGTAAAAGGAGTGAAAAATAGTTCATCTATGTGGAAAAGGAATAATATTTTTAAAAACGGTAACTTGATACTAAAAAGAGCTTTTGAGGAATAAAAATGATAGAATTTCTGAGGCCTAATGGGGTATAAAGCAACAATTGACTTTCTATAGCAACCAGTGGCTTTTTGTCTTAAGCAACAATTGACTTTCATAGCAACCGATGCCTCTGATTTTCCATTGCAACAAGAGACTTTGTTGACATTGCTGTACACTATTTCTTTGTTGTTTTTTTTTTACAATTTTTTGTCCCACCTCCGAAAATTAAATTATACACATGTATATATTATGCAAATGCGACGATATCAACAAGCAAGATCATGAATGATGTTCACTTACTGCATACCTTAAAAAATAAAACCAATGAAAATTCATCGTTTTATCACGTGATGTTGGAATAGAAATCAATATTGGATCAAATCTTATCAATTAAACCTTGTTTCCATTTACAGATCCAAAAATTACATATCAAAAGTAATTCGATTCAATTCAATTCAAATAGTTTATTTTCGTCTCATAACATTTATATCAAATACATTACTCTGAAGTGCATATAGTACCCTATATTGCCCGCAATCGTCCATTGTACTCAACAATGTAAAATGATAACTTTAAATTCACGGTTATCATATTATAGACTATATCATTCGGCACCTTGTGTACCTAAACAGAACAGAGCATAATATTCTATTTGCTTTAAATATAAACAATAATTATAGACATATAAACATGTAAAGTAGCGCGTACAAACAAAATTTAACAATTTAGATTTCACAAATTTTAACTTTGTTTATAGATACATTGTAGTCTAGTTATTAGTTCTAGTGTGCTTGAAGTTAAGTAAAGGAAAATGTCGGCTTTCCCGTCCATGCAGTCGCAACTTTTCGGCCTTATACGTCAGTCTTCGGACACAATAGTACGGATATGGTGTAGAAATACTCCTTCTTTTTACTTTAACAATGCCATACTTGATATTGTTGAGGATTTTAGCTACTTAGGTGTTAAGTTTAATTATAATGGTAAGTTCAATAAAACTACTAAATACCTGTGTGACCAAGCTAGAAAAGCTATGTTTGCTGTACTTAAAAAATCCAGAACTCTTTGTCTTGATATAGATTTACAGTTACAACTTTTTGACTCCATGGTCACTCCTATTTTGTTATATGGTGTAGAAGTGTGGGGTGTAGGTAACATTGATATTGTAAAGCAATTTCAGTTGAAATATCTTAAACTCATAATGAATGTCAAAAAGTCCACTCCAACAAAACCACCACCAATATCATATCATCCACATCACCGCCATTATCAGCAACAAAACCACTACCACTATCATCAACACCATCAATATAGCCACTAAAACCACCACCACTACCACCATCATCAATAATAGCCCTGTGACACGTCATAATATTTTTAGAAGAAAAGGTAATAATTCATGAATGGTTTTGTTATATACATACATAAGTTTTAGGATTTAACCGATACGACGAATACTTTTAAGACTTTATTTATTTATTTACTTATTTATTTATCAATCATTTACTGTGAGTTCAAGAAAATGACAGTTAACATTGCCTTAACAATTAAACATCATAATTATATAACAGTAAATCCGAAAAATATCACATTGACAATAGTATAACGCTAACATTTAGCGCGTCTTAACGCTATGTTTATATAACGCAAATGACGTCACGTCAAAATATATGCACTGTCGTTTAGTGCACATGTTCCCAAACGTCCAATATAAAAATAATATATTTTGTATCCAATACGGGAATATATTGAATGGTCACAAGGTACAAATGCAGATTGTCGATTGGTTAGATTTATTATATATATAATAAATAATATATATATACGTTTTATTATGATTTACATGAATTTTCTAAACATTGTATATTATTGTTAGCCTAAATGAGATAAACGATCAGGTCGTTTGACCTTCATTCAAAATTTTCATATCGAAATAAACGTTCAACGGGTGTAAGGAAATTTTTTTATGTACAGTGCTGTTTAATAGTAAACGGCTTTGAATCTCATTGGTTTGAAATCAAACTTGGTCTTAAACAAGGCTATCCTTTGTCGCCAATTTTATTTGATTAATACATCAATCACTTAGTTATGGCTATGGATGAATCCTTTTATGATATTAACTTCTCTTACTCAAATTTTCAGATTAATACACTTCAGTACGAATTTCATTACTAACTTTGTAAAGAAAAGAACACATGTTGATGTTTGTGGTTAAATCTATTGTTATTCAAATGAAAGGTCAGAACAGGGATCTGTGGATTAAAGAATCTGGTTTAGGAGTAAAATTCGATGACGATAACATTATAATTAATAGCATTTTAGCCTACAATATGCAGACGATAAAAATGTGCTTATTTCTGGAACTGCTAGGCCAGTAATTAACCAATTTTCTTAGACATACGCAGTTCCTGCTGTATGAGTGTTAACGGTGATAAGTCAAATGTACTAGTTCATTTTAGAACAAATAGCTGTGTCTTGACAGATCATGTTTTAGTATCGGTTCAACAGTTGTACATATTTATAAATAGATCTATCTCACTCTCGTTTTAAATGAATTTTAAATTTTGTAGAAATTGCCAAGAATGCAGCACTCTCTGCAAGAAGAGCTTGGTCTCATTATTTCCAAATGTACGTAAAACTTTACACTACCTTTACAAAACTTTATTATCCCCTTGTCTGACCTTTCAATTTACAACCCCAGTATATCATACTGGTAGAGAAGACATACTCGTGTATTAATGATAAATTCATAATAAGTCAATGCGATTAAAAAAAAACAACCCCAAATTCAGCCGTACATGATGAGATGGGCTGGAAGGCCAACGTGGTTCTGTTGCTAGACAACATTGTTAATTGCTTAATATACATGGAATAAAAGACAAACATATTTTAACTACTTGACCTTGAACATTGTATGCAATGATGACCACCACTTAAAATATGATTAAAATGGTTAATGATATTATGCAAAAAAGGTTAATATCTATGTATACCGGCTCAATTTCAATAGATTAGCGTGTCTACGCTTGATTTCTAAATCTTTTCGGACGCAAATAATTTTTAAAAAAAGAGCTTAAAATGATGTCATATGTACCGGATTTTAATATTTAAGTCACGTCTATCTTTTAAAATAGTAT